TAATTGTAAGACATGCATTATCTTTAAAAAACGGTCACAAACTCAACTTATGGGAACTCTTCCTCCGGAACGCACTACATTTACTCGCGCTTTCACCAATACGGGGGTAGACTTTACTGGACCTTTTGATGTTAAAAGTTACCGCGGCAGAGGTTGTCGAGTTTCTAAAGGGTATGTCTGTTTATTTGTTTGTTTCACGACAAAAGCGATTCACTTAGAAGCTACTAGTGATCTTAGTACCCCATCTTTTCTAGCGGCGTTCGCACGGTTCGTGGCTAGAAGAGGATGTCCGAGAAATATTTACTCCGACAACGGCACTAACTTTGTCGGAGCCTCACGATCCTTACGATCTGAATTTAAAGCTTTTCTGTCTGAAACCCGAGAAAAAACTATCTCGAAATACAATCATCAAATGCTGACGTGGCATTTTATACCCGCTGCAGCGCCTCACATGGGAGGACTGTGGGAAGCGGGCGTAAAGAGCTTCAAAAGCCACTTTAGAAAAATTGCGTCCGCCCACAAATACACCTTTGAAGAGCTTAGTACTCTTTTATGCCGTATTGAGGCATGCCTCAATTCACGGCCACTGAGTCCCTCTTCAAATAACCCTACTGACCTGGAGCCGCTTACTCCAGGCCATTTTCTCATCGGTGGACATCTTCTAGCCCCACCAGAATTAGACGTTAATGAAACTCCTGCCTCCATAGTGAATCGGTGGCAAAAACTCAAAGCACTGAATCAAACTTTCTGTAGGCGATGGAAAACAGAGTACCTAACCGAACTTCAAAAACGCATTAAGTGGAAGCATCCCAAAGAAAATATCAAACCTGGTGATCTGGTCGTCATCAAGGAAGACAACTTAACCCCCACTGAGTGGAGGTTAGGACGAGTTGTCAACGTACACCCTGGTGCCGACAGCAGAGTACGAGTAGTGGACATCTCGACGGAGAAAGGTCAAGTCACAAGACCACTGGTGAAGTTGGTTCTACTCCCGCCATACAACGATGGAAACTCGGAGCCAACAACTGCCTCATAAATTACCCCTCACCACTTTACTACATTCCACTTCCTTTTACCACAACATTCCACTTCTAGGTAGTAGGAGGGATACCATGTCTAACCTTTTTTGAGATAACTTGTTTTTAGTACCATGGAGTATATTTTGTTTTTTTTTTTTGTATTTGGCGTGATGGTTCTTACCCGAGTTACCCCGGGTTGATCTGGCTATACAAAAACGACCATCCTCAGATCTGAATCCATAATTAAAATAACTGCAGAAGTAGCGAACTACTCCGCCTCAGAATAAAAGCAAACAGTAGAAAACTAGCAAGTTTAACCCGATAAGTTTTTTTGTTTCAAAATCTTCAACCTCTCAAGCTTGCTGGTTTTCTATCCGCTTTATTTAGAAGAGATTGCATAAACTGTGTAGGCAGTTTATAGTGTAAGACCCGCCCGAAAGGAACAATTTAAAATAATACAAAAAAAATATTTAAAAACTCACATATCTTCGGTTCCAAAAGGGTTCGGTTCGGTGACAATCAGCTTCTTTTTGTTTGTGTTTTGTTGTTCGTAATCGCACGATACGCAGCATGTCGTTATGCCAGCAATCCCTGATAAAAAACACAAACCAATTAGGCCTCGAATAAACGGTTAACAACAAAAAAAGAAGGTAAGAACATAAAACTTTGTTACCAGACCAACGACATTTCGAATAAGGATGATGATGGAAGTAGTAGAAAACCAGGATACTACCCCGAAGAGAACCGTCAGCTGGAATGGGGACCCGCAAGCCAGACTGGAACCTATACCATTGAATAAAGACTGTTAAAAATTTCACTTGGGTTTTGATGATACAGGTATCCAGATTATGTGCAATTGACCAGGTAAATGTTGCATGCGCGGGGTGTGTTTCGAACACAATAATTTTTTTTTAATTATCTCCAGTAGAAAACAAACAGGATCTCTAGTTGTTTTCTTTCGTATTCGGACATTCTTCAAAATACGCGTCAATCTCGTTGTAGTAGTCCATGTCGGATTTCCTATATCATCAGTGGTGTCGATTGCGTTCCGATTACCGGACACTGCTTTTTCAGCCGTCGAATCATTGGACGCGATTAAATTAAGTAAACAAATATTTACACATTTTTTATTAGTAAATCGCAGCAAGATTGCACATTTTTAAATTTAACGAACTGATTGATTCACGTTATTGTTGACAACCGTGTGCCACAAACCTGCTTACAAATTCGTCCTTGTTAGTTTTTATCAATTTGTTTTTTCTTTCGTTTTTTTTTACCCATTAAATAATCACCATAGTGAAAATTCACGTTGCAGTGCGTTAGCTTCAATTGTGGTGAATTTGAAACTATGTGGCTCCAAAGCTTGGAGTTCCATGTTAGAATGATAGGCATCGACAGGTATACAGGAGATGTCGCGAATCTTATCGATACCTTGCGAAGCTTTGCGAAAAGCTGTTTTTAACTGGTATTAATCAAACTGTGGTACTGTTCGCAAAAGGCTTCTAATTCAAATGGAAATTTTCGTATTTTCAGGCATAAGTGGCAGTGTCGAGTAGACGTGACAAAACTATGGCACCTGTAGGGAGTTTGTAGTATAATGAGTTAAAAGGTGCAACAGGTTCCATACCGCCAGGATCTCATAGTTGAAGATTGATTTGTTTCTCACCAACATTGTAGTCACGGTCTATATGGCCCAAGCCCAGCGTAAATTTGCGATCGGTATCTGTTTCAAATGAGTTGTTAGTGAAATAGCGAAACAATGAACTTTTTCCCACTCGCCACTCGCCAAAGATTGTCCCCCTTTGCGTTGGAATGTGTACTAACTCCGTACTGAAATAGCACTACATTAATTTTTACCAGATAAAACAAAATTTAGTATTTTCCGGGCATACCGCCCGCTTTTCGCCGTTACATTGCAAACTTCTTTAAAAACCTTTTCTTTTTTTTGCAAAAAAAAAAAAAAACTGCCATGCCTAGCGAAAAGATTATGGCAGCAAGGCAATTACAAAAGAAATATCTGATCAAAATAAGTCGCGCGCCGCAGTGAAAAGGTCTACAACCCCTATGGCAAGCTTGCGAAATCGTCAGTATGGTGAAGCGAGATGGAGCTTAGTCACGATCACATACAAACGGAGGGTAAAAGGATTCTCGAGCAGCTGACGAATTAAGGCCAGTTTACTGAACTAATGCGGTGTATACAATCGCCTACTAGAAACGTATGCATACTTGCTATGCATTTTCTAACCTATGTCATTTTACCATTTAGTCTGAGTTCCATTATATGATGTATATCGTTGTCTGTCCTGTGAGCGCTTTCGCTAAACAACCACGAATTCAGGAAATATTCGAAATGGAATGGAGCAAAGTTCGACTGATCTAATTTGCTACCCGAAGGACAGTTTGGGGTATGTGATTCGTACTGGTTTGAAAAACTCATATTGATAATTCGCTTGTTTTATATACATATTTGGGGTATACTAGTGGACAGAATTGCGCCTTTTAAGCACATATGTATGTACGACTAAGATGCCCATTTAACCGAACTATAATCATTTATTCATAGCTGCATGGAAGATTGTGGCATAAAGTAGGTATTGAATAACTCACTATGGCGTTGCTTAGTCAATCAATGAAAAGGCAGCAATTTGGAAAATCTGTTTATCCAGAAAAGCCAGCAAATTAATCGGGTACTTACTTCGATTAAGTCCCTCGATGTTGGTGTTATTTGCCGAAAAATAACACCAGCAGAAACTATGCCCAGCAACATCCTGTAATTAAGAAAAAATTACATTCAAACATAGCTATATAATACGATATTTTACGCATACTCACCTAACCTTAAGATTACACAACCGCCGCGTGCCAGAAAAATATAATTGAAATGAAATATGAATTCGCCGTGTATGTATACGGATTTCCATTGAATTCATTCTGACATTTTTTTTCTTTTTTTTTCAATGAAGAAATATCATTTCACCTTGTATGTATGTATACGGTTTTCCATTGTATAAATTCGCCTTGAATGGTTTCTGACAATTGTACCAATGTACATACATACATGCATTCCACAAAGTGAACGTAGTATGTCGGTCAGCGTTCGGAACTTACTGCAATGGCAGTAGATCTACACACTTCTTAGCGAAATTGAATTTTCTACTGCGGTTTTCAACTCTTGAATTTTTTACCACCACTTGAATTATGACAATATATTTTGAGTCAGTAAAGATGTTTCTGCAACAAAGCATATAGTACCGTAAATATATTTTATTGTTGGGATAAAAATGTTAAAAAAAAAAAAAAAGATGCATTGTCATAAGCCCATATCAATGCACTAACCTTTTATAAATATTTCACATATTTTTATGTAAAATTCAAAATGGAATAAGACATTTTGTAATAAAATTTGAAATTAAACTTATGTATTCTGCTGCATATGAGCTACCCTGTTTTTAGACGAGTATCGCCTACAGTGGCATCCAAACCTTTTTTTTTGGGTGGCAGACTAGTTGTAGGGTTGCGAGAATGGCTAAAAACTCTCCAAATGTAGAGTAATACGTTTTCGACAACTTCATGCAATGAAGTTGAACTGCTAATTACGAATATTAGTAGATCAAGTCATCAACGGAAATGATTTTTTTTCACTTAATATTGGCACTTCCAAACATCATAAAGACAATTTACAATTTTCGATGTAATAAAAATTTAACTTTGCCAAGGCATCCCTGCTCAATGGAATGTATGGCATTTGTGCGATCCACTTTTCATTTCTTTGTGGGTCGAAATCTTGCCTTATACATAATTTACACGAGTCAGTTTGCGCCGTACGAATGATAAACCCATTTACACAAACCAAACTGTTCTTATGCATCAGCGAAATAGTTATGCCCTTAATGTAATTAGCCAATGTCGATACACTCGCCACCCAACAACTCATATCAAGCGTAAAACTCGAACCAACGTAAAGTATCGACACAATTTCAGAGGAAACGATGTCTCAATTTGCCGCAATGAGGAAAAGGGCCGAACAGCGCGCCCATCGCTATCCGCAACCATGTCGCCTATGCGACGCAAATCATCCGATCAGGCTTTGCCCTTTGTATCGTGCGAAGTCGCCAGAGGAAAGATTGCGTGAGGCCTTACTAGGACGCTACTGCGCTAATTGCCTCGCGATGAATCACGAATTAAAAGACTGCGTGAGCGAAGGCAGATGTAAACGATGTGGCGAAAAGCACCACTCGACACTACATTTCGAGGATGAACCCAGCACATCGAAAAAGTCATGGGCCCAACAGGTGGAGGAGGAAGAAGAAAATTCCGATGGTGTAATCTCGCTACTTGCGTCCGATTCTGGAACGGAAACGCGGCCTTTCCGTCCAGATACCGAAGAAGGTGCACTTTCAGGCGATGTAGCGGAGACTCGGCCTCTCCGCGCATTCGCAGAAGGGGGATCGGAAACTAGGCCTTTTCGACCCCTATTGCAGCACGAGCGGAACCGGTTACGTGGAGCGGAAACCAGGCCTTTCCGCCTGCGTAATCCCAGACGCAAGTCCTCTCGACGCACACAAAAGGAAGGTAGACTGGCGACTCGGCCTCACCAGCTATCGAAACGACGTACGTTCCGAAACGGAATCTTGGGTCACCATACCATAGCTGCGCCAACACTTCAACCAATGATCGCTATCGCTCCGACTGCAGTCGTTAAAGTAGAAGCTGGAGGGCGCCTACATTTGATCCGCGCGCTTGTCGACGTATGTTCCCCTCGAACTATAATATCACTTGACTTAGCCCGAGAGTTGCGCCTGGACGAGACGCGCGTTAGCGGAGAAAGAGGTTGTCTGTTATGCTTACGGGGAAAATATGGGCAAAATAAACGGGTAGCAACTCACGCTATTGCGCTACCCAATTTTAGCAGAATAAGCCCATCTAGCAACGCGGATGCCTCAGTGGCTGAGCCGTACGCGCATATACGCTTAGCGGACCCTCGCTTTTATGCGTCCGCACCGATACGCGTGATCCTGGGAACCGACGTTTACGCAGATATTTTATTACCTGGGACACTGCCCACAACATTTGGACCACTGCTCGCCCAAAGCACCATATTTGGTTGGGTGCTGTCCGGGGTCTCTAGAGCGTAACTTTCCTTTTTTTACATACATACATTACATCTAAATTATCATACTCTAAAATGAAATAAAATAATGAATTTAAATAAAGTGCATTTGAAAAAGTAACCACGTACATTTCCTTAATTACCACTTATATTTACATCTGCAGTAGCACTCCATAAAGGAAGGACGAACTCTACCTTAATGAATGCCGACGCTGCTGCCTGATTTGATCATTAACATCAAGACATAGAAAACATTTGTTTGTAAAAACCATGTGCGCTTGGTAGCTGAAACGCGGCCGATATTTAGATGTTGCTTACCGCAAGGGGGCCGGGATGTTTAGGCCTTAAGCCTAAATATTTCCAAATATAATGCACCACCCTAATGTGTCATTCACATATGTGTACATTTATGCATGCATACTTGTACACATCTACGTATATTATATATTCGCGCCGTTAGTTTAAGTTTCCCGCCGGATAAAGTATCTTTCGTTGAATTTCCCCTCAACGTCTTTTCTTTGTCCGGCGGTTCGAACGAAAATCACGGCTTTAGATTTTTTCACTTTCACATCGGGAGACCAAGGAGAAAGAACTGCAGCTACCAGGCCACATTATTTTCAGGTGAAACCATTGTAAACCAACATATCTAAATCAAATCAAAATACTTAGACAATTAATAAAACCATTAAACTAAACCGAGTTTTATTTGTCTTTTTTTCCTATTATTTTCAAACCTCATTGTGACCATTTTGCGCACCACACCTGAGCCGCACTGCGTCACACTGACGTTTTTAGCTATTCTTTTATAACCTTTATTTCTATTTTTTGTTGTTAACTCCTAGTTTAAGTGGTGAATTCAAGATTTTTTTTGATTCTACCTTTATAACACGAGTCGAAGACCAATAAATATATTAGGTTGAAGTTTGTAGTAAACATTTTTGAAAATTGTCGTTTTTTACGATCTGTGCTTGGTAATTTGAGATCTGCATTGGCTCCCAAGACAAATTTCCTCACTGGTGTGATAGTGCGAGTGAATGGGGAGCGAGATAATCGTGAAAGAGTTATTGGTGGACTGGGATTATTTGGAGGAGATAGACCGGTTACGCGAAGCCTTGCCAGAGCACTAGAGGACCAGGTGGTAGGTTCCTTATTCAACCAAATAGATACGAGGCACACCGTCCAGTGGACTTCGTCCCAACAGATTTTTTTTAATAGGTGCGCTACTCGGGTCTTTGGTACAACGGAAGGGAATCGGCCAAACGTGTCCATTGAAAACGAGGGAGTATATAGTAGCCAAACGAAAGTTTAAGTTTTTGCAGGAAGATACACGCAATTTTGGAAATGTCTGAAACAGATTCGCCAGGTGCCGGGTGCGGTGCAAACCAGGTGGAAAATAACCATGGCGGTGACTCGGAAGCGGGACGTCCTAAGCCTCCGGAGAGCGGACCTACTTCAACTGCGACCAATATCGATCAGCTGAACCGTTTAAAGGCGATGATGGCACAACAAAATGATATGATGGCGCAGTGTATGAACGAGGTCCGCCACATAAGGACTAATGTCTCTGATTTGAGTCACCGAGTCACCGAAATGGAAACATCGGTTCAGGCAGTGGGTACCAACCCAACATCAGCATCGAAACCAGGGCCTAGAAAACAAGTAGAAGACAAAAGTCGAGGAGATAACGATCCATCCCGCGAGCCACCCAAGTGGAAGAAGATAGATCTTGACAAGTGGCACATGAAATTTGATGGATCCGGGAAGGGCATTACCGTCGAAAGCTTCCTTTCTAGGATAGAGAAGATGAGGGCACAATATGAGATATCTTATTATCAGTTGTTTACGGACTTTCATTGTCTCGTAACGGGCTCCGCGTTAAAATGGTACTGGCAGGTACTGGAGGACCATGCGGAAGATCCATCGTTTGGCTATTTTGAGCTCCAGCCGGAGTTGTTGGCTCAGTTCAAAAGCGCGGAGTCCGATTTACGAGATAATCCGGGAGATAATGGAACGTAAACAACTGCCACAGGAAGCTTTCGACGACTTCTACGGTGAGGTCCACAATTTGACGTTTGGGCTGAAGAAAAAGATCCCAGAAAAAGAGTTAGTTGGAATTATAAAAAGCAGTCTGAAACCCTACTTGGCTAACTTCACGTTCGCTTCCAAAATGGACACGTTGGCCGAACTCAGAGCTGAATGCAAGCGGGCGGAGCGAGTGATCAAGGAGAATCGAAACAGGACCAAGATAGTCAACGAATTAGAATACCCAGGCGTACCAGCATCAGGTGAAGTAGAAGGTGATAGGTTTGTTGAAGCTATTGGGACCACCACAAGCCGAAGTTCAGCCAGCCATCCGCTTCCAATTCTAGGCCAAACGTAACTCAACAAGGTAGACCGGTTTCCACTCCCGTAAGTGATTCCAAGACCACCATCAGCTCATTCTGTCCGTCACCATTCCATTTAATGTTGTGTTTTAAGTGTGGTATGCCCGTCGATTTTTATGTGAAAAATCCTGATGAAGCTAAGAAAGATAGTGTTTGTAAGTCTTCGTTTCATAGTATGGTCTGTTTTGCGTGNTGTCTGTTTTGCGTGTGAGGGTGATGTGTCTTTCTGTGTGTACAAGTCGGAGAAGGAAAACTCGACACTGGCGGAGAAACCCGGGACCTCCAGCCAGGTGATAAAAACCCGGAGAACTACCGCAGTACGTAATTCTAGAAAGAAAGAACAATTATGGTAACAATGGAAAGGAGGAAGTGAGCATAAAACCCGAATTGAAAAGCTTACATCAGCGGAAACAAGAATACGAGAAAACTCGAAGAATAATCTTTTGCGAAGAAATTATTAAACAGAAAAAGGGTAGAAACTTTGAAAAGATAAGGAAGTTGAGGGAAAAGAAAAAGTATTATAAACGAATATGTAAGAAAATAGTTTCGACAATAGCAACCATAAAGGGAGATAATAGGTTTTTTGCACAGACCAAAATTGGGGGTAAAGAAGTGTTGGTGTTGCTGGATTCTGGCGCAGGTGCAAGTTGCTTGGGTAAAAATTCGAGTGAGTTGTTGAAGGGTAAGGAAGATAACATCGTTCCAATATCGGGTCAAAAAATAAGAACTGCAAATGGTGGAGAAACTGAAGTTATAGGCGTAATCACACTCCCAGTGGTCTGGGATGATATCACCAAAGACCTTGAGTTCTTAATTGTTCCGGGTTTACAACAGGAAGTATACTTAGGCATCGATTTTTGGCAAACTTTTAATTTAAACGTAGTAGAAATGTGAAGATAGGGTCTAATTGCACTGGCGTTGCAGAGCTAGTACCCGCCGATGGCGATGTGTCCTTTGATGCTGTGCAACATGTGTTAACTCCGGAGCAGGACACAGCGTTGGAAAGAGTAAAGTCACAATTTCCTTCGTTTGCTGTCTTGGGATTAGGCCGCACAGATATAGAAGAGCACGTTGTAGAAGTTGTCGATGAAAATGTCCCAGTGAAACAGCGACATTACCCCATCTCACCAGCAATACAAAAACTCATTTACGCGGAAGTAGATAGGATGCTAGCCATGGGTGTTATAGAGGAAAGCAACTCTAGCTGGGATTCGCCTGTCTTATTGGTGGTGAAAGGCACGAAAAACCGGCTATGTCTGGACGCAAGGAAGGTCAACGAACGAACGATAAAGGACGCCTATCCTTTACCACATGTTGACGGGATTCTGAGCCGCTTACAAAACACGCGATTTATCTCGGCCATAGACCTGAAGGATGCATTTTGGCAAATCCCTTTAGAACGAAAATCTAGGGAAAAGACCGCTTTCACCGTACCCGGTAGGCCTATCTATCACTTTACGGTGATGCCCTTTGGTCTATGTAACACGACTCAGAGAATGTGTAGGTTAATAGACAAGGTGATACCCGCTGCTTTACGTGAATGTGTCTTTGTGTATTTAGATGATTTATTTGTGTGTTCGGAAGATTTCTTGTCCCATTTATGTTTACTTGAAAAGGTCGCTCGTTGTCTACGTGAAGCAAAGTTAACAATTAATGTTGAAAAAAGTAAATTTTGTTATAGAGAAGTACGTTACCTCGGATATGTAGTTGGCGATGGCTGCATACGAACAGATGCCAATAAGGTGGCGGCCGTGAGGGATTTCCCNGTTGCAGCTCTGCTGCACGACTGCCTCACAAAGGATAGGATCAAATGGTTTAGAATGACAGAGGACGCAAAAACATCTTTTGAGAAACTAAAACAGAGCCTAATTTCTGCACCAGTGCTAGTATATCCTGACTTTGACCGACATTTTTACATACAGTGTGACGCATCAACTGCACCGATCGCATACATATCCGCAAAGCTGAACAAGGCGCAAAATAACTATAGTATCACGGAGTTGGAGTGCTATGCCGCTGTGATTAGCGTAAAGAGGTTCAGGCCATACATTGAGGGTCTGCCGTTCACGGTTATAACGGACCATGCGAGCCTCAAATGGCTCATGAACCAAAAGGACCTCTCAGGCAGATTAGTACCGTGGAGTTTGAAGCTCCAAGGATACGATTTTAATATTCAGCACAGAAAAGGAGCACAGAATGTCGTTCCCGATGCGCTATCACGTGCGAACATTGAAGAATTTAATCCCAGTGAAAGAATGTTGGATATTTGTTTAGATTCGCCTTATTTTAATTCGGATGAATATGTTGAATTAGGAAAGACAGTGACCGAAAATCAGGACAGACTTCCAGACTTATGTGTGTCGGACGGATACGTGTATAAACGAACGAACTTTAATAGGGGGGACGCACGAGACCGAACGACCGTTTCAACGGTTGTATATCGATTATTTATGGGTCCTTACCCTCGTACGTGTGATGGTAACGTCTTTGTGTTTGTGTGTCTCGTCCATTTTTCAAAGTTTGTGTTCTTAAAATCCATGAAAAAAGCCACGTTCAGTGAGGTAATCAAGTTCTTAGAGAGAGAAGTTTTCCATACTTTCGGTGTGCCAGAGTACATCCATTCTGACAATGGAAAGCAGTTTGTGTCTGACATGTTTGCCAATTGTCTCGACAAATATGGAACCAGACACATAAGGACTGCTTTTTATTCCCCGCAGAGCAACGCAGCAGAGCGAGTGAATCGATCAGTTTCGCAAATAATAAGATCATATATGTGGGATCCTTTCTCGGCAATGAAACTATTATTTAGTTTTTATACGTTTATTTAACAAATTACTCTACAGATATTACAGCGCTTAAAGTGCCGACCGTTCGCGTTCGTGTCTTCTGTTGGAATGATTTCCTTTCTGCCTAGCTGTCCTTTACCAAGTACGCTTCGTCCAGTCCGTGTTGCCGTGTGTCGAACTTGTATTATTGTTCAGAGTCGTATTTTATTAGTAGGTCTGTCCGCTTCTTGTCTGACGTATGTTTTCGGTCAATCCCACATTCGGCCATTCTGACAATTCATTCGCCCCGAATGATGGGATCCACGGCTTCATGAATTCTGCTACTGTTTGGGTAATTCTAGGCCCTTCAACATCCCCAAGCTTTTCCACTGTGTAACGCCCGTGATCTCTCTTGTTTGTTATCTTATAAGGTCCGAAGAACTTTTGTTTAAGCTTCAGCCCAGAT